TCTGTATCCTCCACCCAATCCCCGCCCGCATTCTTAATACTAGCAATAAAATTCTTTTTTTCTACGGGCAGAAGCATACATGTGGTAGAACTTGGTGTTAGCATCTGCACCCCGGAGCCAGTGTTGTTTCGCACGCTGTCTCCAAAATACATCCTCCTGGGCCTCCAATTTTTTTAATTGATTCTCATTGTGTTGGAATTCGGCCAATGCGACCGGATTCGCTATATCCCTGAACTTCTCCTGCTGCTTCCGTAATTGCCCTATTCGGCGACCAAATCTATGGAATTTGTCCCCCCCATTTCATCAACTTCATCCCACAAAATTGCTGACAGTGCAACAAGCCTTCTGGCCTCCCCTCCTGTCAGGCTGTTTCCACCACCTCCTTGCACCCCTCGCCCAACAACCATGCATTTTCAAATCTAAACCTTCTCGGTCCTCTTACTCTGCGTATATTGAGTGCATTTATACTGAGAAACATAGCCGAGTGATCTGACTCTCTAGTTTGCATATTCTCCACCCATGCATTCCCATGTATGTACATGTCTAGTTTATAACTAACCCATCGTTATGCCATAGAACCGTGTTCACCATCCATGGTGAACACAATCCTAAACGGTAACAGTGCCTACGGGCACCGTTATCTTTCACCAATTTTTTTTTTTAATTAACAACGCGACTTTTCTTCTTCATATTTACATTTGCGGTTTCATTTTCTCTTCGCGCAAGTTTATTCAACGCTCATAAATTATGAATGTGCATGCATGGATTTATGAATGTGCAGTTATGAAATTATGAAATTATGAATTTTCTTTTATAAGATTATGAATTTTCTGTTTGAAATTATGAATTTTCTGTTATGAGATTATGAATTTTCTGTTATGAGATTATGAATGTACAGAAAATTCATAATTACATAACTGTAAATTCATAATCTCATAACAGAAAATTCATAATTTAATAAATATTTTTCTTTTATGAGATTATGAATTTTCTGTTATGAAATTATGAATTTTCTGTTATGAGATTATGAATTTTCTGTTATAAGAATATGAATGTACAGAACATTCATAATTACATAACTGTAAATTTATAATCTCATAACAGAAAATTCATAAATTAATAAATGTAAATTCATAATCTGAACATAGAATGCAAAACGCCGTTAACATCACATTAACTATTTTTTTTTCCGGCAAAAACAATGCCATTTGGGACCGTGTTCACCAAGCATGGTGAACAACTGAACACATTTCCACGGCATAATTTGCGATAACTAAGAGTTATACTATATGTACTCTTTATTATTTCTATTAATTTATTTTTACTCCTTGACGTGACAATAAATTAATGATTAGTTATTTTCATCGTGTGAGTTTCAAGAAAATCTTAACACCAAAATTTTGTGAGAGATGATAAAAGTTGAGAGTAAAATTTGCAAATAGAAGTAGTATTTTCCATTAAATAATTTGAATAGTAAACATGACTATTTGAGTTTTTTGCACTTTTGGTCCCACGACTATAGTGGCACTGGCAGAATCGATCCACAACTTTTGAACCTTGCAATTTTAGTCCACGACTATTGATTTTTTTGCAAAAATGGTCCTTCCGGTCACTTTTCCGTCAATATTTCACCGGAAAAAAAATTCTGCATTTTTAGCCGGATTAAAATTGACATTTTACTTTTCCGATGTCTTCGGATGATCCGGCAGACGTGCTGAGCACCTCCAATGCTGCTGCCGGATAATCCAACTAGCCCGGGGAACGCCACGGCCGCTCCGCCGCTTACTGACAACCCTGCTTGCTCCAGGAATTCTGCCGCCTGGGGCAGTAGTATGTAGCCCAGTAATATTGTATGTATTCAAATATCAATTTTTTTTCTTTTAATTTTTTGAGATAAGTAAAATGTCAATTTTAACCCGGCTTAAAATGGAGAATTTTTTTTCCGGTGAAATTATGACGGAAAAGTGGCCGGAAGGACCATTTTTACAAAAAAAATCAATAGTTGTGAACTAAAATTACAAAGTTCAAAAGTCGTGGATCAATTCTGCCAGTGCCACTATAGTCGTGAGACCAAAAGTGCAAAAAACTCATGACTATTTTGTTAAACTTTTGTGCGAATGACTTGATTTTAAATCATTTAGGTTAAAACCTTTTCTTCTTTCTTTCTTCTTTCAGAAAAAAAAAAAGTGTATAAATTTAAAACCTATTTAGATTAAGGGTACATTTAGAAACCTGGTCCAAGTTTATAGTGTTTGGTTAGAGGGAGAAAATGGAAAATTCTATCAGGTGTGGCCAATGAAAAATAGAGGGGATTTTTCGAAAAATGACATTCTCTTTTTTTCATGTGTAGCAGTGGAGCAACCAATCACCCGCCGCCGCCGCCACCTCCATCGTACCCCCACCACCACTACCACCATTGTTTATTTTAAATATTTAAAATTAAAAATAATTATGCTAATTTTCCAGAAAATGAACCAAACACACCAAAACAATTTTCTGGAATGCAACCAAACAATAGAAATGAAAATGTTTCCTGAAAAATGACTCATTTTTCAGAAAACTTTTTCCAGAAGTCATTTTCATGCTTTCTAAACACACCATAATTTAATATTAATTTTTCAGATATCATTTCAAATTGCTCAATGTTAAACTCCTGATGAGAATCATGGTGTTAAACAAAAACAATATGGATCACATTTGTGTGAGACTGTCTCACATAAATTCTTATATTATCTTTGAGAATGGTCGAGTCAGGTCAATATTAAATGTAATACTTATACTGAAAAATGTAATACTGATAAGGAATAAATTATTCATTTATTTGTTACTTATCATGAAAATTATAATACTTTTTGATAAAAATGTAATACTTTTATATTTTGATATAAAAGTATTATCATTTTCAGCTCAAAGAATCTAAACCCCCATCACCGGAGTTCAACCTATGAGCACTCACTAGTAATGATAACTGAAATGTCATCACACTCATGATAATCGGTGAAAGTGTTGGTTACTTGTACGGAAAATGTAATACTTTTGAAGAATAAAATGTAATACTTTTACATCTATATTTAAAAGTATTACGTACATTTTTTCTTCAAAAATATTACAATTTTCCAAGTAATAAACACTTTATTCTCGATTAGTAGTTACATTTTCTAGTATAAGTATTATATTTCATCTTGACTCAATCCTTCGTGAGACGAACTCACACAAGTTTTTGCTATTGAATATATTATTTAGAAACTTCTTTGGAAAAAGAGTCAAATAAGCCCTCAAACTTTATCTTAATAGTCAATTAGGTGCCTACATTTTTTAAAGTTGCGATTAAATCCATTAACATTTTATTTTGGTACAATGAACCCCAAAAACCGATTAGCGACCTGTGATAGTGGCTCACTAGAATTTCGGCACCATTTCCGACAAAAAATCGACCATCGGCGACCAGTTTTGATCGCTAGTCGCCTTCTCCAGCAACCATTTCTAGACGCCTCTCTAGAGAAAGATGGCCAATTCTGTTCGCATCTCCGTAGAAGGCGACCATTTCTGGTCGCCTCTCTAAAGAAAGGCAACCAGGTTTTGCTTGCCTTCTCTGGTGAGGTTACCAGAACTGGTCACCTTTCTCTGGAGGGGCGGCCGGAAATGGTTGTCGGAGAATATAATGCAACCATTTTTTTATTGCGACCAACGTCAGTCTTTGATAGTCGATCTTTTATTGAAAATGATGTCAGAACCTAAGTGACCTTTTATCACAAATCACTAACCGGTTTTAGGTTTCATTGCACTAAAATAAAATGTTTTTTTAGGATCATTAAAATAAAACTAGTATTTGTCCCGTGCGATGCACGGTATAAAATTTAAGTATTTGTATTGTTGATAAAATTCAAACATCAATCATTAAAATTAATTATAAAATGTTACTTTTTTTATAATACTAAATTGGTTGTTATATTAAAACATCACAACATACTATTAGCATATATTATAAAGCATTGTGTTATTAGATATCACATGATATTTTAAAATTTTACATTTAAATAAATAATATATATATATATATATATATATATATATATATATATATATATATATATATATATATCTACAAATCTAATAAAAGCGAATAATGTTAGGCCCTTAACTGGAACAAAAAAAATGTCGGTACTAATTGTTTCTTAAAATGAATGGTTCATATTATTTTGATTTTAGTATCTTTTAATGATTTTCCTTATTTACCCTCTATTATATTGTTTTATTCCCTTAAATAACCTTAAATTCCGTTAGTTTAAACTTTAGTAACGGAATATTCCGTTAACTATTTATTATTCTTAACATACTCTTAATTTATTTTCTACAATTAAAAGATTCCTTACCTTCAAATTTATTAATTTATTATATTCACTACATTGTTCATTCTCTTCTTTTTAACATTATCTTGTAATTAAATATCAAACACTACAAGAATGTTAACATTTAGCGACGTTTTTTAAATGTCACAAAAAATAAAAAAACGTCAGCAAATGTATTTACTGACGAAATAAAAACGTCGCCCCGACCGTCGGGTTAGCGGCGTATGGAAAGGTATTACTGACGAAGTTATGTTTTCGTCACTAAATGTTACTATTATTGACGTTTTTGCATGGTCTTATAATGTCATGGAATACATACATTTTGAGACGAAACATAAACAAAAACGTCAGTAATAGTTAGTGACGAAATAAAAGATTTCGTCAGAAAATGTGTCTTTACTGACGTTTTCCATAAAATGATGTTTGTCATGAATAAATTGAATTGGCGACGAAATTGGTAATGCGTCAAGAAATTAACATTTATTGACAATTATGTAAATACCAATTTGTCAATAAAAATACATTTACTGACGTTTTTCCATATTCGTAGTCATCACTAAATTTTATATTTGGAGATATTTATAATTTTTAAATAATTGATCATTTACATATAGTTATATCTAAAAAGATTTTCACAACAATTTTATGTAATTGAAATAAACTATTTTAGTATCAATTAAAATTTCAAAATAGAACAATATTTTTCATAGTACAATATTGAATTACAAGAATGTAATGGGATACAAATGGTTCCTAAATAAGTTGGCCAAACTAGACATGAGAATATATGTCATTCTATGCACATAAAGACAGATAATAATTCTCAAGTTTGTCAAAGTTATTGCGGTCGGCACTTTGGAAGTCCTTTGTCTTAGAGAGAATGTCTGATATGATGTCTGGTCGGGTCCGATTTGATGTTTAGATATGCAATAATTCCCTGCCATTAAAAACATAGATGTTTTTCAAGTATGAATAATAATTGTACATAGATGTTTTTCAGAGAAAATCACTATAAAAGTTTAGATATCAAGTATTCCATCCATAGTAATATGTACCTTGTTGTAGATCAAATTGCAATCTTGATGCTGCCATATATATATACTGCAACTCAAATTCATAATTTTAATTTCCTAAGAAATAGGAATAACACAATTATGATCAAACAAAAATTAAAAGAAATAAAACTAAAAGCAAACCACATAAAAATATTAGAATGCCATCGAAAGGAACTTAGTATAAACGGCAAATAAATCAGTAATGCATGTAATGGTTAAAGTCCTTCTGTGCCTTCAAAAATAATAGCATAAATAACAGTACAATAACGTCATTTGGCCTTCAACTCCAAAAAATACACCCTTCAGAACAAAAAATAAATAAACAAATAAAATGAGTGTGTAAGAATAAGATTTACAAGTTTCACCCAACTTTAATTTTATCATAAAAGCATAAACTTGATATCACACCATAATCTTAGCAATTTACTTTACCTTGTAAAGCTAAAAAGTGTTGCCTAATCTGAAAAATTAAGATTAGCAAATAATGGATTAAATATTGTTTTACAGTGTAAGGATATTTATGGAGATTTTAGGCAATTGGACAAAAAATAATTACCCTAAAATTAAATATGAAAAATAGAAAAGAAATGTGTGATCTTGAGTAAAACACGGTAACCATAAAAATTAAATGAAGCAAATATGATAAGTTTGCAGTGATGCAAGACACAATAACAGAGTGGGTCACATGCAATGAAATCATGGGGTGTTATATTAGTATGAAGAGAACTTAAACATACATTTTAACTGTATAAAACCAGTGGCAGATTCCTTAATATCTAGAGCAACAAAAAAATATTTCATAGTTCTTAAACCTCAAAAAAGCAATAAGAAATGAATGCTATAAGTTTGCTTCTCACCCTAAGCAATGATCCATCACAACAAGCAACTAAATCAATTGATATATTGTCATATTGTATGTCCAGGAGCCATGAAACACACATTGTATAGAAAATTTTATTTAGACTTAGCCTAGAATCACACCACATAAATCATTAATCTTTTTAGCCATTTCCTTTGTTAAATAAATGTTTATATAGTATCTAAATAATAAATATTGGACTAATTGGCTACACTAATGGGTTCAACCGGATGAGTTCTACATTGAAATGGTCTCTACAAAAGAAACAATCCCAAAGTCAAGCGCAGAGGCTTTACTATTGGAGCAAGAAGATTTACCCAGTGATAGCGATGAGGACATATCTCACTTTTCAGATGTTGAAGCATTGGTGAGAAAAAGGTTATATCTCCTAATCTCCACAGGAATAGGATTTTATGGATGAGTTTAATACTAATGTGCTTTTTGCAGCTAGCTGTATCCTACCGCCACCCCAAAACTGCAGCAGCTAATCCTTGCAACATCATCCCCTAACCTCACATTCGTAAATTTAAAACCTTGCCTTCATGCTAGACTCAACACCTCCAATAAACACCAGTTAGGACATTCATTGTACATCTAGTACTCCTTCAACTGATCAAATGAATACGATACAAGTGGACAGAGTAGTAGCAACTAGCAACAGATAAAGTCCCTATACTCCAAAAGAAGCAGCCCCATTATCATCATTTTGGTTATTTGGAGGTCAGGCTAACGCTCCCTCCCTCATTTTTATTTTTTATTTTTTACAGAATTTATTGAGTAATAAAGACTGCATCAGACCTCCAATCATCACAAGGAATCTTTCTTTTTAAACAAATAAAAAAGGAAAAAGGGTCAATGCACTGAAGGCAAACCAAAGTAAAGAGAAAAACCTTGTCATTTTATGTTTTGAGAAGGATTGCATATGCCAAAATAGCTTGTTTGTACTGCAAATAAGCCAAAAAGGAAAAAGAAAATGGTCATGTACTAAACTCAGTTATAATCAAATTCCTTTGATAAGATTAATTAGTTATTAAGAAAGCAGATGAAAACAATCAGTTAAAAAAGTTTCCCACTTGTTGTTGTTCAGAGGCATCAAGAAGAAAGTGAATGGAACCAAAACCACTTGCTATAGTTTTCTCATTAAGTGTCCTGTTGACCAGAAACTAAATAAACTAAAAGGAGTTAGTAAAATATGAGGATAAGTTCTCATAAGTCCCAAACCGGTTAGATAATAGAGATGCTGGACTCACTTGATATCTATACTATGTTTGTTTGTAACCCAAAACCACACAGCTCACACCCCCAAATCTGCTGCATCCTACCAGCTACCAGCTCAGATTTTACATATGACACACCAAATCATGGGAAAAGGAACCCTTAAATTCCTAAACCCCACACCTACGTATAAATAATTCATAATAAATTTAAATATATACATAAAAAACAAATCACAACAAAGTTTTTTTTTTTTAAATGCTAGAGAGAAAGTTATCCTATTCTAACTAATGAGAGCAAAAATCACCCAAATGATACCAAAAAAAAGAGTTTATACAGGGATGCTAGGGTGGAGATTAGTTGATTAGGGTTTGTATGTATTTACCTGGATATGAATCTTCTCTTGTACGCTTGCATCCTTTGGAAAACTTTCACTGGGTTTTTGCAGAGATGAAGGCAGAGAAAATTGTGGGATTAGAAGCAGAGACAATTTTTGCAAAGATGAGGGGAAAACCAGAGACGCAGGTTCTTAGGCCTCTTTAATCTGTGGGAACAGCAAAATACACATGTAATTATCAAACTTAAAAGATCTAATCCATTCTAAATAACTAACCTGCTGTAAGTTTTAAGCGCTCATCCGCCGCAGAGAAATTAGTGAACCATTGGCTTAGAGGATGATCTTTACTGTAACCTAGCCGCTCTTCCTTGCGGAAACGGCGGAGCGGTGCTGATGAAGATTGTACGCCTGGTTTGGTAGTGTAGATAGAGAGGTGAAGTTAAAGATTGGACTAATGAAGATATTTAGGCAGATTTTTTTTTCTTTTAATTTATGAAGATAATGTTTTCTAATGGCGCTAAAATAAAAAACTTTCCCGCAAAATATTTTCACTTTTCCTGACGTTTTATGTTAAAATTAATTTTAAAATAAAACATTTAGGGACGTTTGTTATAAAACGTCGTTAATTCTATATTTTTACTGACAAAAAAATTATATTTCGTCAGCAAATATTACAAAAAATCTTATTGTATCTACCAAAATATATAGTGACGTTATTTAATATAACGTCGCAAATTGTTATATTTAGCGACGTTTTTTAGAGCGTCGTTAAAATTTTCGTCGGGAAATGACAGATTTCTTGTAGTGAAAGTTATAATACAAAACATGTTATATATATATATATATATATATATATATATATATATATATATATATATATATTTATTTATTTATTTATTTATTTATTTATTTATATTTATTTACCAAGTATTTTATGCAAATATAATAAATACTAATATTTTGTTTAATACTTTCACATAATAACCTACGACACACATCTCACAATACATGAAACATGTAGGAAAAAAACTATCACTACTGAATATCAATAGGTGTTTGTTCGCTAAAGAGTTCATATTACAACTAAAATCTCAGTCATATACACAACAAGGCAAATCTAAAACTTCCTATACCATAATCTCATTGCATGATGAATCCTTCTATGCTGCTAACAGTAACCTAATTGCACATGACACACTACCAATAAAAAAAAAAAAAAAAAAAAAAAAAAAGACATGTACTGAAGATGAAAACAATAACAATGCTACCCAAAAGAGAATTAAGAAGAATTAGAGAAATTTAAACCAAAAGTAGTATTTATTTAAACTATCGCTTTAAGACTAAGTATTTAAACTAGCGTTATTACAAAGTTGCAAACATTTATTTTAGTGACAATTATAATCAATCTCTCATATATTATATTACATTTATATACTTTAAATTACCGATTTAAATAAACAAATTCAACATTTATTTACCTATGCATGAACATCTCCTATATAATATTGCATTGATATACTTTGAACTTATTTAAAAATAATTATTGGGCATTATCCCATTCGCGCAAAGCGCGTAAAAAAAACTAGTATATATATATATATATATATATATATATATATATATATATATATATATATATATATATATATATATATATATATATATATATATATATATAACATAATTTAAAATTAATAAATTAAACTATATACAGTAAATAAATGATTCTTTATTTTTTCCCAAGACATTTAAAACTCATTGTGATTAATAACCACAATTAATCTACAATTAATCTAGCAATTAAGATTATACCATGGAATGATGCCATTTCATTTAGGCGGGAAAATGACATGGCAAAAACATTTTGCTATTATATAGAGTAAGAGTGATTAATAACCACAATTAATCTACAATTAATCTAGCAATTAAGGTTATACCATGGCCATGGAATGATGTCATTTCATTTAGGTGGGAAAATGACATAGCAAAAACATTTTGCTATTATATAGAGTAAGATAAGATAAGATGTTAATCCTTTAATTGTAACTTTAAAAAGTTTAATCACTTAATTAACTTTTTAGATTTTTCAAAGAAAAAATAATTTTTTAGGTAAAATTCTAGAGCTTATTTCACCATTTTCCCAACAATTCTTTTTAAGTGGGAGTTTAATATTATTTAAAATTGAAGTGGACGTAAAGCTGTTAACGACAACAATATATTGACTTCTACCCATTCCCATAAGATAAGATGCACCCAGCCCACCATCTTCTAACTAAACTCACCCAATTTTCCAGTGTAGCCATGGATCCCAAGCTAGTCCAGATCTACAACACCATGGGTTTCATACGCAACCCAGATGGTTCATTCACACGTCAACGGGAAATCACCGCCGACCCAACCAACGCCGTTGATCCATCCTTAGTTCTAACCAAAGATATCTCCATTAACCAATCCAAAAACACTTGGGCTCGAGTTATCCTACCCCGCCAGCCGCTTGATTCTCCAGGCCAATCCAAACTTCCCCTCATAGTCTTCTATCACGGAGGAGGATTCATCGTGGCCGGCGTGGACGAGCCGAGCTTCCAAGATTTCTACCGCGCCATGGCCACTGAAATATCCGCGGCGGTGGTCTCCGTCTCGTACCGCCGCGCGCCGGAGCACCGACTGCCGGCGGCGTACGACGACTGCCTGGAAGCACTGCACTGGATGAAAAACACCGACGACAAGTGGCTGAGAAACTCCGTTGACTTCTCCAGATGCTTTATCATGGGCGAAAGCGCCGGCGGGAACTTAGCCTACCGCGTGGGGCTTCGCGCATCGACGAGTTCTGCGGAGCTGAAGCCTCTGGAGATCAAAGGGCTGATATTACACGAACCATTTTTTGGGGGGATGGAGAGGACAGGATCGGAATTAAGATCGGAGAACGACAAGGTGCTTCCATTGAAGATGACCGATGTGGGGTGGGATATGGTGCTTCCACTGGGCGCTGACCGGGATCACGTTTACTGTAATCCAATGGTTGAGATGAAAGCAAATCCCGGCATGTTTGATGAGGTGAAGCGTCTGGGGTGGAAGATTTGGGTGTCGGGTAGTGAGGGAGACCCGACCATTGACCGGCAAGTGGAGGTATTGAATGCGTTGCAAAATATGGGCGTGAAAGCGGTGGGTCGGTTCATTCAGGGTGGCCGACATGGGATTGAGCTTTCTGATCCACCCAAAGCTAAGGAACTGTGCATTGCGATAAAAGAATTCGTAGAATCATTTTAAGAAAATACTTGGTGTACTTACATTTTAAACTTTCAACTTGTACTCCCTCTCACATGTTCTTGATGTAAACTGTGGACCCATATGATGAAAATAATTAATCCTGACTTGCCACTTCAGGGAGTATAAATGAGGGAGTAGAATTTTGGGAGTCTATATAGTAGAACTCATCATTTTAATTATTTACTGTGGATTGTTTCCCTCACGTACGTTATTGTTGTTTTGGAGGCCGCCCTTTTATATAACATGGAGAATGGCATGTCATTCTTCCTACCTTTATCAAATATGTTTTGAATATGCAAGAAATATAAACCTATTTGGATTGTATGCAATCCTCAAAACGGTGTAAGAGTCCATTTTAAAAAAAATTCAAATAATTGAGTGTATATCACCCACTTCACAACAAATGTAAGGTAAAATAAACAACAGACAAGACTAATACCACCATTTTCTTCACTTGTGTCATCAAGGTATGTAGTGCTTTGAACTTTGATTCCCTTCTTGATTTTCGTCTTGTACATCCTCATCTGATCCAAATCTCTTTCAAGGTGTCCTTCTTTACCATCATCTTCATTGTCTACCATCTTATCATTCCCTTGGTCTTTTTTCTATTCTTTCCCTCTCAACCTCTTCTTTTTCACTCTCCACACTCTCTTCCTTGTCTTGCCTTTCTACCCTTCATCATTCACACCTTCAAGTTCATCTCCATATCCCCCTTCTTGATTTCACAACTCTTGGGTGTGTAATTCTTCAAATATTGGGAGTTTCTTGTTCACTCTCCCTTGTATCTTCAATCACCTCCTCCAAGGGTACTATACGTACCTTGAAGTTCACACATTTCTCATGGTTGTGCACATCATGCTTGACATTTGGAGTCACTTTAATGCCCTCCCTCATACTGTCATCGGGCACAATGGTGATTCCCAACGTCTAGGCAATGCCCATGCATGTCTCCTCACTCAATCCATATGATAGTCGTAATATGTGTGGGATGCAATGGAAAGAAGGTTTGGAAATGTGAAGCTAGCTTCCCGGGGATGCCGTACCGTTCTCTAAAGGTGGTGAATGAGAATTAAGCAATGCGCGGCTAAGCACGAGTGCGTAATTAAGAGTAGTAGGAAGCTAGGTCTCAAGACTTAATTGTAAAAGTAGAGTATTATCAAAGTAACAAGTGAAAGTAAATCAAAAAGTAATTGTAAAGAAGTCACTCCCTGAGTATAAGAAGTAATGTAATGCATTGATCATTATTCTTGAAAGATGTTTCTATTGCCAAAGCTACTCTCGTGGTCTATTTGGCCTATCAAGTAGTAAAATCCTACTCTCATAGCAACCTTACTACATGAGACATTTCATCGGCTAACTCCCATACGAGTGAAGTACGATCGTACTATTATTTCCTCCAGAAGACACTGAAGATGTCTGAATTAGACTTTGTGGTCTCTATGAAAGTACTATCTCTTTAAGATGACATTCTAATGTCACTTGAATCACCTCATTTGTATATTCCTAGCTTGATATATGATTAAAAAAAAAAACACAGAACGTCGCCAAAATGTCTTCAAAATGGCATTGTTTTCCTATAATGCACAAATACAACCACAATTAGCCATAATTCTCAACTTATGCAAAATAAGTCATTCTAAACATATAATAGGCTCAAAACACTCTAATTATAGCACAACATGTCATCAAAATATCCCACAAAATATAACATTTTTGGCACTTACCACCATACTTTCCTTAGCTTGAGGCTTGGCATGACACCTTTAATCAATTCCATCCAGTGGAGCCACAATGGGAGCAGTAGGGGCAGCTGCCCCCACTCCCCACCCCATCCATTTTTATATATTGTATGTATATGTCATTTGTATATACATAGTCAACTTATAAATATTAAATTTACATAAATATAACCAAAGGATGAGTTAGTTTAGATGCATGGTATGGTATTTGGTGGCAAATTCTGTTGTGGACATGTGTCCACCTTGCAAGGTGGGCATAGTTCTACAACGGCGTCGTTTTGGTTGAAAATGACGCTGTTCTAATTTTTTTTTTTAAATTGTTTTTCACTTGTTACGTTGTTAACGACGTTTCTCTCTTCACAATCGCATAGTTTAGAAATTATGAATCTACTGTATTTAAATTATGAATATACAGTATAGAAATTATGAATCTACAGTATTAGGTTTGTGAACATGTGATAGAGCTATATGTTCATAATTTTCTATGTTGATATATCCAATTGTTGAACTTTAATTTGTATTCACAAATCACAGAACTATATGTTTATAATTTGATAACTATACAATTTAGAAATTATGAATCTACACTACATAAATTACGAATCTACAGTACAGATATTGTGAACCTGTAATATAGAAATTATGAATCTACTGTATAGAAATTATGAATCTACTATATGAATCTACGATTTAGAAATTATAAATCTACAGTATAGATTTTATGAAGGCCGGTCCTATAATTTTATAGATTTGAGCATTTTCATAATTTCTATACTGTAGATTATGTTAGGAAATGTTAGATTGGTGGGAATGTTAGATTGCTGAGAATGTTAGGTCACTGTGTTCGGTTTTAAACTGAAGTATGTAAATAAGGTAATGGTAATAAGACAAATTGATTAAAATGCCAAAAATCTAAAATTAGTAATAAGATAAGGAAATGCGAGAATATCTAAGAAATTAAAGGGTATTTCACATTCTCTTTCAATAGCTAAAAACTTTTTGCGTAAATTATGTTACATTTTTTTTTAGAAAAATTACATAATTTGAATTAAACATGAAAATTTTATATTCTCAAACAATATAACATTAATTATCCTATATAACTTGAACTAAACATTCCTGAAAATAACGTGATAATATTAATCCTATATATAGTAAAGCCATATGGTCTTGTGAAAATTAAATGGTGATAATCAACATTTAATTTTCACAAGACCATAATAATATTGTTAATTCTAATAACAACAACAACAACAACAACAACAACAACAATAATAATAATAATAATAATAGTAATAATAATTGCAATAATAATAATGATAATAATTCAACTGATAGTTTCTAATATATATATATATATATATATATATATATATATATATATATATATATATATATATATATATATATATATATATTTATTTATTTATTTATTCATTTATTTATTATATTTATTTATATTTCAATTTCTACTGTAAATTATTGTGTGAATGATGGTCCACATAATTGTATGGATCATGAATTTCAAATACATTTTTAATATATTAAAAATACATTATTTTTATATTGAAACTACATTACATACATATATAATGTACCCTTAGTATATTTAAAATATACTTTTTATTGCATGCAACCCCAAGTTCATAAGTTTGAAATTAATATATGGCATAGCTAGGCGGCCTAATATTTAAGATTGTTGATGTGCATATTGAGAACTACGGAGACAAAGATGTGTTATTTGTGGATTCATCGGATACTATCCAACAACACTCTCCAACTTGATTGACGTGAAGTAGGCTCAGTAACATTAAGATTATAATTCTCGAATTATTAGTTCTCATCTTTTATTGATTACACACTTAATTCGATAGTATTTGGAAGAAAAAATCAATGCTCGAACTAAGATTGTGATTTTGGTCTTTAAAGATCAATTGTATGTTGCTACATCTAGAGTTAGAAATTTTAAAGGTCTAAAAATTTTGATCCGTGGTGACTCTAAAATTGTAATTCAATTACTATTATAGTTTACTAAGTTCTTAAAATTTTGTAATATTAAATACTATGTACTAAATTTTTAATATAGTTTAAGATTTGTAGTAATCACCCACCTTAAATATTATTTTAATTGTAAATATATTTATGTTCATAATTTTATCATAGGCACACATAATAATTATTAAATAACAAAAATTTTATATATGAATAAACCTCATATAGAGTATATTTTTATAACATATTTTCGGTGTATCGCACGGAACAAATACTAGTTATCTTATATAACTTGAACTAAACATCATATTTGGAATGTGCAGTAAACTTCTAAAGTTTAATTTCAGCAGCAATATTTGGGATTTGGGAAGATTTTTAGGATTCTACAAAGTCTTTTATTGCAATGCACAGTTCCTTAGCTTTGGGTGGATCAGAAAGCTCAATGCCATGTCGCCCACCCTGAATGAACCGACCCACCGCTTTCACGCCCATATTTTGCAACGAATTCAATACCTCCACTTGCCGGTCAATGGTCGGGTCTCCCTCACTACCCGACACCCAAATCTTCCACCCCAGACGCTTCACCTCGTCAAACATGCCGGGATTTGCTTTCATCTCAACCGTTGGATTACAGTAAACGTGATCCCGGTCAACGCCCAGTGGAAGTGCCATCTCCCACACCACATCGGTCACCATTAATGGAAGCACCTTGTCATTCTCGGATCTTAATTCCGATCCTGCCCTCTCCTTCCCCCCAAAAAATGGTTCGTGTAATATCAGCCCTTTGATCTCCAAAGGCTTCAGCTCCGAAGAGCTCGTCGACGCGCGTAGGCCCACGCGGTAGGCTAAGTTCCCGCCGGCGCTTTCGCCCATGATAAAGCATCGGGAGAAGTCAACGGAATTTCTCAGCCACTCATCGTCGGTGTTTTTGACCCAGTGCAGGGCTTCCAGGCAGTCGTCGTACGCCGCCGGCAGCCGGTGCTCCGGCGCGCGGCGGTACGAGACGGAGACCACCGCCGCGGATATTTCAGTGGCCATAGCGCGGTAGAAATCTTGGAAGCTCGGCTCGTCCACGCCGGCCACGACGAATCCTCCGCCGTGGAAGAAGAGTATGAGGGGCAGTTTGGATTGGCGCGGAGAATCAAGCGCCTGGCGGGGTAGGATAACTCGAGCCCAAGTGTTCTTGGATTGGTTTATGGAGATATCTTTGGTTAGAACTAAGGAAGGATCAACGCCGGTGGTTGGGTCGGCGGTGATTTCCCGTTGACGTATGAGGGAACCATCGGGGTTGCATGCGAAACCTATGGTGCTGTAGATTTCGACTAGCTTGGGATCCATGGCTGCACTTTGGAAAATTGGGTGAGTTTTAGAGAGAAGATGGTGGCAATGAGTAGAAATCAAGTCTAAATAATTACCCACTTCCAAGTTCCAAGAAGTTTCTAATTAAAGAGTATTATATCTATAGTTTTTGTTCAACGCCATGATTCTCGTCAGGAATTTAATATTGAGCAATTTCAAATGATCCCAGAAAAAGTAATATTCAATTAGTCTAAAATGGTTTAACCTAAATGATTTAGAATCAAGTAATTGGCACCCTGCACCTTCTAGCTTCATCCCAATGTGGCGATTGACGTGTTGTTGCATAAATAAAATAACAATATTAAAAAAAAAAAAATTAAAGCCAATATTATGAAATAAAAATACAAAATTAAAATTTTTTTTAAAAAAAAAAAACATTAAAGACAGTCATGGTCTACCGTCAATCGTCATGCTTTTTAATTTTCTGGTTTTTTTCTTTAGATCTAGAGACATAAAAAGTCTAGAGACGAAGAAGGCTCCTCCAACCCTTTATTTTCAGATTTAGAGGTTAAAGTATAGTTATTTTAAAAAAAAAAAAAATGATGAAGGCAGCCTCTTCGCTCCTTCTTCTCTAGATTTGAAGACACCAAATGGTATTATCAAGTAAAAAAAGGGGATAAAACATATTTCAATCGTTATGCCTTGGACCCGTGTCCAGCATGCTTGCTGGACACGGGTAACAGTGCCGTTAGGCACTGTTATCTCCTTTTTTTTTTTTTTTTTTTTAATTTCAGATCACTTTGTTATAGAAGTATATGTTCATAATTTTATTACTATATGTTAATAACTATACATTCATAACTCCATAACTGTACGTTCATAACTCTATAACTGTACATTCATAACTCTATAACTGTACATTCATAACGTCATAACTGTACATTCATAACTCCATAATTGTACATTCATAATTTTCGAAGCTCTATGTTCACAATTTTAGAGCTCTATGTTCACAATTTTATCACTATATGTTCATAATTGTAAGTTCATAATGTTAGAGCTCTTTGTTCATAATTCGATCAATAACTGTACATTCATAATTCCATAACTGTAGATTCATAATCTCATAACTGTAGATTCATAACTCCATAACTGTAGATTCATAACTCTATAACTGTACATTCATAATCTTCGAAGCTCTATATTCACAATTTTAAAGCTCCATGGTCATAATTTTATCACAATATATGTTCATAATTGTAAGTTCATAATGTTAGAGCTCTGTGTTCATAATTTCATAATTACATAACTGTACATTCATAACGGCATAACTGTACATTCATAACGGCATAACTGTACATTCATAATCAAAAAAAAAAATAACGCCGTTAACGGCAAAACACGCGCGAATTTTTTTTTTTTAACTAAATGACGCGTTTTTTTTTTAAAACGACGTCGTTTTGGGCCCGTGTCCACAATTCAATGTGGACACGGGTCCAGAGCATAATTTGCCAACATATTTGGATGCACGATTTTAATGAGTTCATGTGGGCTGATGGAGCCTTAAAAAAATATTTCATTCTTAGAAGTTAAGTGTCGAATTGGACTTTTTAAACCCAGGGTACTATAGCTCGCAAATTATGTTGTGGACTCATGTTCACAATGAGTCTAAAACGACATCATTTTAAAGGAAAATGTGGCCTTTTAGTTAAAAAAAAATAAATTAATTAATTTTGTCTCGCCGTTAACGGTGTTAACGACGTTATTCGTTTGTGGCATTATGAATGTACAGTTATGGAATTATGAATGTAAGTTATGGACTTATGAATACAAAGCTCTGAAATTATGAACTTACAATTATGAACATATAGTGATAAAATAACATAGAGCTTTAAAATTGTGAACATAGAGTTTCGAAAATTATGAATGTACAGTTACAGAATTATGAATGTACAGTGATGCAATTATGAATGTACAGTTATGCAATTATGAACATAGAGCTCTGACATTATGAACTTACAATTATGAACATATAGTGATAAAATTATGAGCATATATTTCTATAATTAACAAAGTGGTCTGAAGTTTTTTTTTTTTTTTTAAATGGAAGAGAACAGTGTCACTAACGGCACTGTTACTGTGTCCAGCATGCATGCTGGACACGGGTCCATAGCATAACGATGGACTATAGCTAGCTAATTGTATAATTCAGAATAGTTTATGTGGTTATTTGACCTTTATTAAGTTTAAACTAAGTTAGAAATAATTTCAATTATATAATTTTAGAAATAATTTAGTCCTTAAATTATTTGTTTAGTGGTCATTTTAGTCACCAACTTCAAATATATCTTAAAATGAACAGTGATGGAATAATAAATATGTAAATTTGTGGGTTTCCTCCCAAAGTACACATCAAATAAGTGAAAATTAGATTTTAAGTCAAAAGCATCAGGTTGTAGCTTTGTTTTCTTTATAAATTTATTTAAATATTCATTAACGAATAAAAATAATCTTATAGAAAAATATTTTCAAAATAATTAAAGAAAATACTAGTAATAAAGTGAAAAAAAAATATGTACATACTAGTTAACTGAACCGAATTAACCAAAATTCCTAGCCCTTTAACCATTAATCGAACCGAAAGTTCTAATAACCGAATCGATTTTTTTTTTTCAATTAACTGAAATTTTTAATTAAATTTTGAACTCCTTAAACTTATAAATAAAAATTAGATTACCAATTACATCAATACCTATAAAAATTAATATTGTTTAATATTTAGGATTTTATATATATATATATATATATATATATATATATATATATATATATATATATTTATATATATATATATATATATATATATATATATATATTTGTTTTTCTTAATCATTTTGAAAACATTTATCTATAGATAAATGTTTTCAAAATGATTAACACAGGATTATTTTTGTTCTTAATCATTTTGAAAATGATTAACACAAGATTATTTTTGTTTGTTAAGGAGTATTTAAAAGAATTTATAAAGAAAACAAAATTATTGTCTGGTGCTTTTGACTTAAATTTGTTTTTCCACTTATTATTTGATGTGTGCTTTGGGAAGAAACTGATGTGTAGTTTACATATTTACTCATCCATCATTGTTAATTTACTCCCCCAAAAAATAGTTATATGAGGTGAAAGACTGAAATGACCACCAAACAACAATTTAGGAATTAAATAGAATCACATATATAAATATGGGACTAAGTTGGCTATTCTAGTATACATGATGGACTAAATAAATAGCGATAGGTTTCACAACAACCCCATAGATGTACCTAAAAATTGAGAACTAAACAACTACAAATAGCCAGACGACTAGGTAACACAAATCAAAGAAAGATGTTTGATAAACTAGCCTATAGCAGATTACATGTAAAATGATTTTGTTCTCAAAATATTGTTTTAAAAAAAAAAAAAAGCTGTTTTGAGCAGCTTTTTGAATTTTATTGTTTTGGAGCAATAAGTTAGTTGTTACAAAATTTAAATTAATCAAACATTTATATTGATTGTTTAATCCAATCAAACAACTAATACTAGTCAAAATTGATTAATAAGTTAATTATGTTACCAACAATGCCTTAAAATGTTTTATATAAATGTCTTGAGTGAGTTCATGTGTACTTCAAATGCTTTCAATTATTTTGCTTCTTAAATTGCGCATGATGATGCAACATTTTTGTTAGGCTCCTTTTTTTTATGTGGTTGACTAATAACAAATGTTAGAGACTGCAGTCAATCTTCCTAAGTGAATTGGCTACTAATTGGTGGAGGTTAGAGAATATATATTTTTTCATTATTTGCTTCATCTAAAGACTAATAAAGATAATTATCACATCCACTCCACTTCCACTAAATCTACAACCAACATCATTATATATATAGTAAATAAAAAATTACATCTCTAACAAAATATAATAATACACAAAAATATTACAAAATCACCAATTTGTCCTTTAATATTTAGAAAATTAAAAATAAATTATTAATATTAACAAAATTTGTAAGTAATGAATTGAAAATGCTACTTCCAACATAATTAAAGGGAAAAAATATTATATTTTAATTTTATCTTTTGTACTTAATTATGAATCACTAAATTAGATTTCTTGTGATAAGTATGGATAATCATTTAGTCATTCGTAAATAAATATGTTAACTTATATTTTACAAGTCCACCTAAGATGTGCCATGATCCATTTATATTGATTGGAAGAATACACTGTTGTTATTGGACCAGGAACCTTGAATAATTGAAACTTCTTAGCGGGCTTATAAATCTTTAAACTGAATATTGGTGAGGTGTGCCAGGCCCAAGCAGCAGTGCAACGCTTGGGCGACGCTTGAAGACCCAGGTAGCAAGCTACCTTAGCAGGCCTTCCCCTCAAAAAATAAAGTTAATATCGTGTGGGCCACTGGCTCACGTATCAGATATTAAACTGATAAGAACAGATACTACACTTGATCTTAGCCAAAAGGCCGAGAAAGGTATGAGTGTCATGGTTCACGGCCCTATTATTTTATTAGGCGCCACAGGCATGCGCTCCCTCAATGAGAAGCGATGTGGGACAACAAAAATCTGCCTTCATAAGCTGTCTGCGTGATAACATTATTAGTGGGGGTGAAGGATGTCATAGTTTTTATGTACGGACTCACACTTGATGAGAAATCATCTTACAGATATCAATCTGTCATGAAATGTATCAAAGATAGTTACTTGTTACTTATGATAGAAATCATTATACTTTTTTTTGAAACTAAACCAAATTTTCATTAATTCAAATCAACATAAAGTTCGTTAACAATGAAAGACGGAGGAGACAACTCCCACTCCTGACGCACAGACATAGAACAGGCCTCCCTAGCTAAGTTATGGGCTACACTGTTCGCAGTACGATAAACATGATAGATAGCAACGTCAACAGATGAACGAAGCATATCTTTAACATCAAGAAGAACAAGATCACAAGAAGACACGCTTTGGTTTTGATTCAGACTTTGAATGACCTGAAGCGCATCGCATTCAACTCGAATATGGTGAATCCCCTTGTTCTTTACCCAACTTAATGCTTCCCTAATAGCCATTGCTTCCGCCTCTTTTGGTGTTGGAACTCCACTGCATGGTATGCTGGCAGCTGCC